ATGTGGCCGACAGTACCGATGACCCGCTCACAGGTGTAACGTCGTCTCAGTCCTGACGCTATGACATGCGCTCGGTCTCCGACCCCGGTCTCCGAGGCCGCGTGAGGTGCCGGCTGCTCTCGCTTGCAGAGTCGGCGCTCATAGCCCCTGGGCGACAGGAATGCTCTTCTCCGAAATCTCTCCTCTCGGGGCTTCGGAAAACCTTCGGGGGGCTGCTCTTCGACGCCCGAAGACACACCAAAGTGAACAGTGAACTCTTACCCCGCCGCTGTCGACGGGAGAGATTGCAGTAACAGCGCGAGGCTCTAGAAATGCACTCAGAATGCGTCCTCCTCCTGTCTTTTCTCCGAGTCCGAGGTTCTACTGGAAATTCGTCGTTCTGAGTCTGTCCTGTGGGGGGTAGGGCACCGTGACCCGTGCCCAGGTGCTGCCCTGCCGTCCCGAGGCCCGTCCTCACGTCCTGGGCGCTGGGAAGGCTCCCGTGGGTGCAGGAGCCACGTGATCCGCCGTCTTCTCGGCCCGGAGCTCCGCCCCTTCAGGGCCGCTCACTGCGGTCTTGCCACGGCCACGGGTGCTTCACGTTTTATTTATGGTCTTGACTCCAGATCCACGTGAGAGTCTCCTGCAGATGCCTGGGTTGCCGGTCGCCATGTGAACGGGCCTCCGGGTGGGAGAACCTTGATTGTGTCAGTTTCCTTCTCCTGGACCCCTCCATGGTCCAGCGGGTGCTGGTGCGTGAACGGCGCCCCCCAGAGCACCGAGGGGACTCGCGGCACCTCAGCGGGGGGAGAAGCCATAACCCCTCCTACCACACGGACGCGCGTGAGAGCGGCATCCCAACAGCCTGGTGCCCGCCTCACACCACGGGCACCCCGAAACGGAAGAACATGCGGTGCTGGTGTCTCGGCGCAGCCGACGGCAGATCTCGGACACGCTGACAGCGAAACCCTCGAAACTGACCTCTGCGCAAACACGGTCTCCCCTCGGCTCCCTCTCGGAACAAATAGATACACGTTGGGGTGGCAAGTATCCTTTCCACTCTGGGGTCACATGTGCCCCAGACCAGCAAGGCCTGAGCCCTCCCTGTGCGCAGACGGCGTGGGGGAGGTGACGAGGTCACCGGGTCCCGCAGGGAAAAGGTCACGAAGTCCCTAAAGGTCCCCCCCCCCGAAGGCAGGCAAACAAGCCCAGGACGGTCTGAAAGCATCTGACCAGCTGACTGCCCCTGGGCAGTCACAGGGACTCCGGAAGCTCCGGCCCCTCTTCCCTGAACGTGGCCACCACAGCATGTGTCCACTTAGGTGGTCGTGAGGGTTCAGTGAGAACACAGACACGGAGCGCCCCTCGGAGCCTGCACGAGGACCTCAGGGCGCTCACCTTCCACGGGCAGTGAGGGGGCTTGGAGGGAGGTCCCTCAGCTCTGCCTTCTGAGGGGGGCACGAGGCACGATGTCAGCTCTGCCTTCCGAGGCGGGGCTCAAGGCACGAGGTCAGCTCTGCCTTCCCAGGGGGGACACAAGGCACGAGGTCAGCTCTGCCTTCCCAGGGGGGACACAAGGCACGAGGTCAGCTCTGCCTTCCGAGGGGGGGCTCAAGGCACGAGGTCCAGCTCTGCCTTCCGAGGGGGGGCACGAGGCACGAGGTCAGCTCTGCCTTCCGAGGGAGGACACGAGGCACAAGGTCAGCTCTGCCTTCCCAGGGGGGACACAAGGCACGAGGTCAGCTCTGCCTTCCCAGGGGGGCCCAAGGCACGAGGTCAGCTCTGCCTTCCGAGGGGGGCACGAGGCACGAGGTCAGCTCTGCCTTCCGAGGGGGGGCACGAGGCACGAGGTCAGCTCTGCCTTCCGAGGGGGGACACGAGGCACGAGGTCAGCTCTGCCTTCCCAAGGGGGGGCCCAAGGCACGAGGTCAGCTCTGCCTTCCCAGGGGGGCACGAGGCACGAGGTCAGCTCTGCCTTCCGAGGGGGGCACGAGGCACAAGGTCAGCTCTGCCTTCCGAGGGGGGGCACGAGGCACGAGGTCAGCTCTGCCTTCCGAGGGGGGCACGAGGCACGAGGTCAGCTCTGCCTTCCAAGGGGGCACGAGGCACGAGGTCAGCTCTGCCTTCCGAGGGGGGCACAGAGGCACAAGGGTCAGCTCTGCGGTGAGGCCACGGCCCCCCAAACCATGCTGGGATTGAGCCGTGGCTGCTGCGCTCCTACTGCCCCTACAGGGGGCGCTCAGGTGTGGGTTCCCGGGCTGTCAGGCAAACCTTATGCCTGCACCTCGGGCAGCGTGGACAAGCTGTGGTCCCATGACCAGAGCCTGCACTGGAGAGGGTGCCCGTCTCGGCCACACACAGAAATTAAACAGAGTCAGCCACTCACAGGACCACGGAGACGGCCTGGCCTCACAGTGGACCCACTTCTTCGAGGAAGAAAGGGAAGTGGGTTCAAATTAGGGCGGGTTGGACGGGGTGGGCCCCATCTGCTGACGGAACGACGCGAGGCCCCGGGGAGAGCCCGGAGATTGCGCAAAGACCTCCGAAAGGCACGAGAAAGAACACAAGTAAAGACGATATTCATCCAGCAAAGCAGATTCTGCCAGTCCAGTGACACTCTCTGGCAACGCTGACCCCCAGAGAGCGGGGGGACTGGAGGACAGGTGCTTGGTTCTGAGAAGGAAGGTCAACACACCTCCAAACACCCCACCCCCCGAGCGCGGCTTCCCGTTTCTGGCTGAGAAGCCGTGGCCCGGGGGGGGGGGGGGGCCGAGCCCCGAGTCTTTCTCAAGGGCCTGTCCAGTCCACAGGACTTACAGGGGCGAAGCCCACGCACTCGCCAAGTGCCCTGGGCAGCTGTGACAGGTGGGGAGACCGCGGGCCCAGGATCCGGCACACCTGATCACTCGGCCACCTGCGAGCTATGATCACGGTGTTTAAAACGACCTCACGGGCCAGTGGAGTGGGCACCCTCAGATGCACTGCTGATTGGAGCACCAGCACGTACCGGGCACACTGAAGGCCTTATCTTTACTCCTCACACACGCTGAACCGATAGTGCTACGTGACCCCCACCATACAGACAAGGGAAGTAAAGAAGATAGGGGTGCAGTAACACTCCTGCAGAGGCCACCTAGCCGCCGTCGCCCCAATCTCTGGGCCGATGCTGCCTCTCTGATTTATTCAAGACCAGATGTGAGCGCTGCAGAGAGAGCCATCCCTCTGGGAACAAAGAGATCCCCACGTACCAGGAAGTGGTCTGAAGAGACAGCACCACCGAGAGACCCAGCACGTGTAACATTCCACGGGGCCCATCAGCCAACTTCCTGGTGTCCTCGGCTGGGGGTGGGGTAGGCAGCCGTCTGCCAAAATACTGTGTAGCTTTAAACTTTCCTCCTGGATGCAGAAGCAGCACAGCATTTTATTTGCAAATGCGGTTTCGGAGCCAAACGTTTTCTGGGCAGTGCAGAAGAGGCACCAGAGCCCGCGGGCTGGGCTTCGCCGCGGGCGCCCGCGGAGGCCGGCTGGAGGCCCCGACGCCGCTCCGAACCCAGGACCAGAGGCTTGGAGGAAATGGTTAAACGAGAAGAGGGGAGGGAGAGAAGAAAAGAAAATCTGCAGATTTAAATTGTTCCAATAACTAACCACATAGATTCTGCTTCTCCTTGGAGGGACCACCCGGCTGGGGCTCCCCCAGGACGGCGGGCAGGCCGCTTTTTCCATTTGCAGAAAATCCACAGGACGGCGGATGACCTGCTGCCGCCGCCCTGGGGTCTCGCTCTGAGAACTGGTCTCAGTCCCTCTGACCCTTCAGTGCACCAGCGGGGGGGTGGGGGTCTGTTTTCCCGTGTGCGCATCATGCACACATGTACGTACAGATGTGCGTACACATGGACGCATGCAGCAGTGTTGTCCGATGGTCCCCCCTGGGGAGACACACGTCTGCAGGGAAAGCGTGTGAAAACTTCCTTCGAGCTCCAGTTGGAGCCTCTAATCTACAAGTCACTGTGAGACACAAGGCAGGGACCCAGGACGGCCGCAGAAGAATCTTAGGTATGAACCATGAACTCACTAACTCCTTCCCCCCTCGCACTGCTTTTAAAAAAATCTCCGAGTGCTTCGGATTTGCTGAAAAGCAGAACCGGGCCACAGCCTCTATTTTCGATACAATCAACGCCTTCAGGACAAACCCTGCCACTTAAAAGCGTCCCTCCACCAGAGGTGTTCTCTCTACCTCCATGTTTTCTCAAGCACTTGTTCAAAAACACATCGAAGTGGAATGTTTTCGTTTCTGCAGATTGCATTAATTACGGGTTTGCAAACACGGCAAGCCCACGAGGTCGGCGGAGCTGGGGGCTGCAGACCCAGCGAGGGCCAGCGGCGGTGGCTTGGCGCAGCCCCTGGACATAGCTGGGCGCTTGGCACCACGCGCCGGGACCATGGCGAGAAGCTGCAGCTAAGAAAGAAACACACACAGTGGTCAACCGCGGTGACCCACGCGCTCGGGCGCGCAGCCGGCCGGGAGGGGACCCAGGGCGAAGTGGCCAGGGGACCGCAGGCGTCTCCTCCCTCCCTTTCTGCTCGCGCTAGCAACAAATGATCCTTATTTGTACTGTCATCTGCTTTCCTAGCTTCACTTCGGGAGACTGGGAGCGCTCTCCTCACTTCACCAGGAGGGTCAGGGAAACTTGGGGGCGGCAGGGGGGCCCAGGACCCACGCGAGGGCCGGGGCGAGGGGGCGCGGAGTCCCTGGTGGGCCCGCCTGGAACAGTCCGCGGGGCGGCGCCGGCGATCGCAGACCTTGCGTCCTCCGCGGTTCGGCCCACCCGCAAGTGGGGAGCGCACCCCAACTCCGCCGGCCCGCGGCGCTAGGACCCCCGTGCGCCCTCCGCAGCCTGCGGCCATCCAGCCCGGAGCGCACGCCGCGGACCGACCGCGGTCCCACCTGCCCGCGCCGCCAGCAGGAGGAGGCGCCACCGCCTCGGGGTCACCTGCTCCCCGCGCGGGCTCCGCGGACTCACCGTGAGCGCCGAGAACTTCTGCGCGGGCGCCGGCGGGAGCAGCCCCGCGAGCAGCGGCAGCCAGCAGAGCCGGGGCAGCAGCATGGTCGGGCGGCGCGGCCGCGGACACGCAGCGGTGGCCGGAGCCGGTGGGGCTGCTCCTCGCGGTCCTCTCCCCGCTCCCGGCAGCCGGACTTCGCCAGCTGCGCTCCGCCCGGCGGTCCTCCGGTCCTTGCGGCTCCCCTGGCTCCTGTCAAATAACTCCAGAGCGCCCGTCCCAGAGCCGCCTCCTCCCTCCCCGCTCCCTCCTCCTCCCCTCCCTACCCTGAGCCCCACCTCCCGGCCCGCGCCCGCTCAGCTCAGATGCCCGCTTGGGCCCAGGGGCCACCCCCGCGCCGGGCCTGCGGAGCAGGAGCAAGAGACGGGGCACCAGGGCCCTGCCATGGCCTGTCCGGGTGTGTGCCTGCCTCCTTCCCTGCGCGGGCACACATGCGCACACACACATGTGCCCATACGCGTGCACACACATTACACATGCATGAACACGCACATTACACATGCATGAACACATCACACGTGCATACAAACACACCCGCCTGGCCCTGGGGAGCTCCCTGGCCCCATCACAAGATGTGCTGTGCCTTCTGCTGTCCCAGGGCACGGACCCGGTCCCTGCACCACCACAGGCCTGGCTCACCCACCAGCTTTAACGAGGAAGCCTAGGTCCGGCCTGGCTGCCCGGTGACTCTATAACTCCACCTCTCCAGTCCAGAATGTCACCTCTCAAACGGGCTGGCTCTCCAGCAGGGGCAACTGTGAACACCTCACCGTCCGGAAAGACACGGGAGATGCTGTGCCTTGGGGGCCTCTGCACCGGTTACCCTCGTGGGAGCATCGTGGGCCCGCAGCGGTGGCACGGCAAGTGTGGCCGGGACGAGCCTGCCTGGAGGGCTCCGTCAAAGCAGGGTTCGGGGGTCCGGGCTGGTAGGGGCCGCACGCTCCTCGCGGAGGCTGGTTGGAAACCAGGAGAATTTTGCACACCCAGACTCTGGATAGTATCCATTGCAGACAACATTGCTGAAATAGTTTAGCCTTGGCTTACGACTTTACAGGAAAAAGCCCTAATTCTGGCTCACACAGAAAACCCAGAGTGAAGATTTGTAAGAACAATGCATCAATTGACTGGCCGGGGCATTGGCCCAAAGGACAAAACATGGAAAATCCAAATCTGCTCTTTAATCTGATGTCGAGTGCGAAGCTTTAGCTCTGGGTGGGGGAGGGGCTGCATCAGCACATTCTGGACCCACTGCTGAGACAAAGGCAGCGCTGTCCCCAGGTTCGGGGTCCCAGGCTGCAGAGGGAGAAGGCTCCCCGTTTTCATACGTGAAGTGACCAACACAGGGCCGCGGAAAGAGGGGGGAGAAATGCATGATGGTCCTGAAACCGGGTTACTCGAGAATTCTCTTCAAATTCCTGGGCCCACTGAATCTATTAAGCACTTTAAACACATTCCTCCTGGCTGGAGGGCTCGGGAGGAAATTATAATAAACGCTGGGGACTGCTCCAGGGTCCCGAGAAACAGGTGAGCAAGGCAGCTGGGCATGGTTAAGTCAACAAGGAATGCTATTAGCAAGCGTTAATAAAAATTAAGGTAAGAATAAAAAAGCAAATAGTGCATACCGCAATTCTAAGATCACCCAAAGGAGAACATTTACACTCGGAGTCGACACAAGTCCTTTGCAATACACGCACCCCTAAACGCCGTGTTCCTCCGTGCACCTCGGCGAGCGAGGTGCGAGCCGCCGGCTGAATCCCTGATTCGATTCTGCGTGTTTTCCTCTGGAACCCAGAAAATTGAAAACAGGCCCATCCACCGCCCTCCTCAGCGTCAAGGACGGCAGTGGAGGGGTAGAGTTACTCATTCCCATTCCACAGGTGAGGCCGAACAGCACGCAGGAGGGAGTCTCGGCCCATCTCGCCGGCGGCGAACTCGGGACCAGGCACCCCTGCGCGCTGATGACCACTCACGCTACCTCCTGCAGCGGTCCGAGAGGCCACAGGGCCCAGGAGGCAACTCCTAGGCCTCAAGCCCGTTTATCAGAATCTCAACACGCCGTTCACACCCGGACTGCAGAACCCACACCAGGAGTACCAGGGAGACAGACAAAGTGCATTTGTCCCCGACTGACAGTGAGAGTGGGGAAAATTAATACATTGATTAAAAACACTAAGACAGCCCTGGCCGGTTTGGCTCAGTGGTTAGAGCGTCCGCCTGCGGTCTGGAGGGACCCGGGTTCGGTTCCCGCTAAGGGCAGGTACCTCGGTTGCAGTTTGTCCCCGGCCCTGGTTGGTCGTGCGGGTGGCAGCCACTCGATGTGTCCCTTTCACATCGATGTTTCTCTCTCTCTCTCCCTTCCTCTCTCTCCCTCCCACTCTGTCTGTACAAAAAAATGGAAAAATGTCCTCGGATGAGGATAAAAAAAAACAAAACAAAACACTAAGACATCGGTATGTCTGTCTGACAGTCTTGCGCTGGCCGGAAGGCTGGGTGAGGGCCCCATCAGCAAGCTCTACAGGTAAATTCACTTCTTTGTAAATGAAGGCAGGGAATAATCAGTTCATATTTTCCGACAACCCCACTGAAAACGTTCCCTGGAAGTGTGGGGTCTTGTTTTAGGTAGTGAGCGATCCTAGCCCATGCTAAATCACGGTGTGCGGGGCCGGAATGGCTGTTTGTGTGACCAATGAAAGTCACAAGAAAGAACAGGAGACAGTATCCATCCCGGACTCGGGCCAGATGACGTTCCCTCTTACGCCATTGGCAACGTGATCCGGCAAGTGTACCGGCGTACTTTTCCGTTTAGTTCACCAGGCTGAGACGGCAAAAGGGTGTTTTTCTCGTGTGGACTTGACAGAATCCAAGCATTATTTCTGGCGGGTGTGTGACTGGCCGGAACGCTTTCGGCCAGCTCACTTTCCCCCACGAGGGCGCAGTGTCTGAGGCCGTTAGCGCTGTCCTCGCTGACGCCGCGTTGCATGCGTAGCTCAGTCGCCGTCCTGTCGCCTGAGTGACCGCCAGGCAATCCTGGCCACTGTGGGGACCCCGGGCTGCTCTCCCCGCCCTTCAACAGCACGGTTTTATTACTCTTGTCTCCCAGAACCTATTTAACCCCTGCAAGAAGCTGCAGCTTCCCCGAGGTCCACGCTGGGTAACTGTCCTCTCGTCCTACGGTCACGCTCATCTCGACCCCCGGAATGACTCCAGACTTCACCCCTGGACAAGAGAATTGTCCGTTGCTGCTCGTTCCTGGAGCGTCCGGCCTCATCCCTTGAAGTCATTCCCCTCGGTCCACGGTGGAGGAGGCGAGACCCTCACATTAGCGCTGGGCTTTAGTCCAGGCCCCCGACTCCAGAAACCCGTGCTCCACCGGCGGGCGGCCGGGCCGGCGACCACGCTCACCGGGTCTGACAAGCGGATGGAGCGACCGCCCGGGACTGGAGCTCCGGAGTGGCCGGGGGGTGTCTGGCCTGCCCCGCTCAGGTGCCCCTGCTGCGCTTACTGAAGTAACAAAGCACCTGAACTATCTCCGTCTCTGCGGACAATCGTCTTCCTCCTCCTCAAGGTGCCTGCGCGGGCTCACGGCAACCCCCTCAGGCTATCTGGGACTTTCAGCGAGGCGGGGTGTGCCGGGGTTTCGTACACAGGATCTGATGAGGGTCGCAGGGACCACGCGGAGTCCTTAGCTCACAGGTGACCATGGTGGGCAGAGGCCTTCCCGGACCAAGGGTCCCAGTGCCGGCCCTCCTCCACCTGGCCCGTGCGGAACCTTCGCCAGCCCGGTTTTGCCTCCTATTTGAGATCCATTGACAAACAAGTAAATAAAAAAGACACTTGTGTTTGACTGGTCGGGAAGGATTCACTCCCCGCGGGGTTTTCCAAGTTCGGGTTTAGTGCTTTCAAAGGGAGCTCTGTCTCCCGAGGCCAAACACAAAATTACTACTTTCACAGCCGAACACTGCCTCTCACGTTGACGGGAGACGCCCGGCCACTCCACGGACGCGCTGGGAGCCCGGGCAGTCCCCTGCGGGCACCGCACACAGCCGCCCGCCCAGGGGCTCTCGGGAACCTGCGTCAGAGCACCCGCGGCCAGTCCGCCTCCCCACGCGTGAAGCGACGTTCCCTGGCACGTGAAACGCATAGAACGTGTCCGTCACTGAGCTGAAACCGTGTCACAAGCCCTTCACACCCGAGATGAACGGGGCAGGGGGTGTGCGCCCAGACAGACCCAACGCCACGGTCTCGGGGTCCCTTCCTCCGTCTCCCCGGAGACCTGCCCTTGGGGGTTGAAAAGTTAAAATAGCAGCAGAAATACCGCTTTCCAGGGATCCTCCGCGGCATGCGGACTCAGAGATGCGAGTTATGCCGACAGAGAGCAGGTAAGGAGACGCCCCGATAAAGAAACCTCCCGTAGCCTTCGGCACCCCGCCCCGCCGCGCAGCGCACGCCAGGATGGCTCCAGCGACCCTGTCCACGAGCTCCGGCTGTGCAGAAATGTGTCCCTGGGTAACTCGGACTCCGCACAGCACGGGCTCCTGGGTCGTGAAACAGCAATGTGAACGCCATTTGCCCTTGACTTTGCCCCACTGACCAGCTTTCCGGCTTTGGGGACCTCTGCCTTGTCGTAGTGGGATTGTGGCAACACCACCAACCGACTTCGCTCTATCTCCATAACCAGGAGCCCTGTGAGCTCCGCTGGGGGGCCATGGCCTGCTTGAGGGGCTGGTTCAAGTTCTGCCTCCATCCTGGGCAGACCCCAACTCCTCCTGTCCTGGGTCACAGGAGCTCACCGTGAGGCCTGCTCTCCGGATGTGGGATGTTTGACCCACAGCGCTGTGTCTGGGCACTGGCCCAAGGAAGCCAGGACTGTCTTTGACACCGTAAGTAACCGACGGGCCCCAGGACGCGTGGGTTTCTGTGGGTGCCAACCGCACGTGCAGTGCACACAGATGCCCGGCTGGCAGAGGCGGGTCGTCAGCGTTCAGTGAGCACACATGTTGCCCTGGGACCTCGTGAGGACAGGCTCCGCCCCACCCCGCAGCCTTGTGTGCGCGGACACGGAGCAGGGAGTGCGGTTCTGACTGGGAGAGGGGGGCCTCCCTCTTCCCGGGGGAAGCCCCCTGTCAGGATCTTCACGCTGTCCCTCGTGCCACCGGCCTCGCGGGAGACGGCTGTCCCAGGCC